GATCATGACGCGATACGCCAATCTTAGTGGAACGTGGTGACACACTAATCAGATCGCGTCCGTGACTGATTGGTCGATCGAACGACAACTGGCTGATTTGCCTTAGTTATCCAAGCCGGACTCGATTCACCTTGGCCATCGGGAGTGCATCTGTTGTGTGACGCGGATACGTGCGCCGCTTGACGGGTTCTGTGCGGTCCGTCCGCTAAGTGTGTAGTATTCAGTTACACTTAAAATCTGATGTTGCGATTTGTTCCTTTTAATCTGCCCCATGTCCAGGAACTGATGATTACATGGTACTGCTGATCTCTGATGGTTAATGGTTTACGTAGCCCAAACCAACGAACACCAAAGGGACTTTCTGCGTGCTAGACGCTAATTTGAGACCGCGATCATATATGACCATCTAATTAACGAATTACACATTCATTTTCATTGATCCATTTATGTTTTATTTTGAGCGGAATGCCGCAAATTTGATTTCCATCTTGGTGCTTTTAGTTTCAAGGTCACATCAAGTTGGAAGAAAATTTCAGATCGATTATCTCCGTTCACTGTCATATTTTTCTTCTAAATCAAAATCAGTTTTATTGACCTAATTATCTGTTCATCTTCATCCTTCTCGCACTCTTTTCTCCTCTGATATTCCTCAACTAGTGCCATGTTGACACGTTTGGAAAAACAACTGTCAGCTCTCTGTCAGGACTTGCGTATGAAACATGAAACAATGTCTATCTATCGTGAAGTGATTAATATACGAAAACGTCTGGAACGTCCACCACAAACGCGATTCCCTCCGTGTCCTTTGTTGCCGAACGGGATTGTTCGAAATCCGGCCGTGTTTTGATGGCATTTTTCTCTCTCTCTCTCTGTTATTTCAACCTAACTGATAGAAACTCGGAGCATATAGTCTGTCCATGAAACTTGGTTAACAAATGGGAACAGAAAACCGAGACGAGTTGCATCCAAACCTATTATCCTATTATCACTCATTCCTCACACACCAATCCGACTTGGTTTTACACGTGTTTCGAATTGACACTGCAGTCTCACAACTCGTGAGTGTATACATACTAATGCGCCGACAATACTGTCCCCACATTCAGCCAGATTGAACATTCTCTTCTCTCTCCCTCGCGCGCGCGCTCGGACAACAAGAACGAACGCAGTCAAAAGTTCACCGTGCTCTAGTTCACTGCAAGAGAAACAAAAAAAACAACAACCCAGAAACAGATTAACATGCCTTCTTTATCAGCCACTTATTCACTTTGCCTAGATGTGATAATAAAATGAAACCTTGATTCATATTGATTTCCGTTCTGTTTGGCATAAATGCCCCCCCGGAAGGGGGGGGGAGGTGATGTGTAATCCAACGGACTTGTTCACATACCGCACAAATTGGGAAAATTTTCGGAGCTTTGAACCGATCCTAGTGTGATTGGTATGACGCAAGTTTTCGTCGGACAAGGGAATGCAAAGCGGATACAGTTATAACTAAAGAATCAAAGCTGTATTGTAAGTTATAAACAAAAGTTTATATATGTATACATGCCTTCGGAGCATGAAAAGTAGTGACTTTATATTTGATAAAGCACTGGATCGCGAGCCTACAGATGTCGTTCCGTATGAGTGATAATGCGGCTAGGTGACAGGTGGTTTATATAACAGCCAGATTGTCCACAACTTGGGAATTTTTACGAAACGAATATCCAGCACTGAGCCTTCCATTGTGCCCCTACATTCTATCTTGTCTTGCGAGTGTTCGTGTGAATATGCAAATCTAAGAGTAAGTTATTTCCTTTTCTGTAATCGGGCTGTCAGAGCTGATTTGTCTAACACTAGTGTGATGAAGCTGATACTGTGAAACACTATATATGGAGAGAGAGCTCCACGACCACTTAGGGCATCCAGTCCCCAAATCTTCACAGAAAACAGCTGGCAGATTTTTCCATAGAGCATGCGTCGATTGCGAACTATTGATCTCTGTGACTCTGTGGTGATCATGCATCAAGATCGGATGGCAACACGCAGGCTCCACAATACAGCTGCCAGACAAAAACCCAAGAAACAGATTCCGAAGAGGTGCAAACAATCCCATGGGCTGAACGCTGGAAAGTTAAAAAAACGGAACATATCAACACTGATTGAACAACGAGAAACGAACCAATGTGTGATTGAGAGTTAAAATATTTATTTGTTTGTCTTTCTGAATACAGCTCCTCTTGATTCTGTGTGAATTGAGTCGGTTTTCAGGCGATCGATCCCCTGTACTACTGATTCACATGAGTTTACTTCGGAAATAGTGCTAATAACAAAACAAGTAACCTGTTTCATTTTTCTAAACTAGCGATAAACATTTTTTTGGTTAAATTGTAAAACAACAACTTTAAGAAAGGAGAACAGTACCGATCCGAAGTTTCCCATGGAATTATAGACGCTTAGTACGGTTATAACAGTCAGATTCGTGCACATTATTGACGCGTTTGTGCGTTGTTGGTGTGCGATGTTCGATTAGCAAGATAGTCGGAACGTTTGCTTGCCAAAGATGGTGTGGAAAATCGCAGAGAAAAATCCCGCACAGTATCAGTTTGGGAGGCTGGATCTAGAAAGAAATTAAACTAATGATTTTCGACATTGCAATCGGTTTTTCAGCATTTCTAAAATTTGGTATACAATACGAGAGGAAATGAATTTCGAAATTCGCCCCATCGGAGACGCTTTGCACACAATGGTGTGACGGATAGACTGAGATTAATGGAACCGATCGCAATCGTGTTGCGTTATCCATGAACATAGAAAGCGGAGATGCTGCACTGTACAAGCATCTCATTTAGCTTTGACGGTTGCCAATACTGAATATCGACAGATCTGTCACTCCATAACAAGACTCCATATGTTCATCGAGGTGAA